ATAACTGGTGAAACTCTATTCATCAAGTTTCATTCAACATGGAACATTGCTTACGTGGCGTGACAATACATTGTTCAATGACGTGTTAAGGCAACGAATGTACAACGGTTTTGTAAGCGCAGGGAAAAGGGCTCGCTTGCTGGCCTCCAGTGGCAGAGTCCTTTACCACTGGGCTGGCAAACCATCTCCGACTACTCCAGCTACTATGGTTTTTATTACCTTAAGAAGAATCAAACCACGTATGGTAAGTCCTCCGTTGTCAATTAGTCGAAATTGTTGTGTCGAAGAATTGGTGGGCGATCTGTTTTGCCTGGATTTGCAGCACACAAGGAGAATAAGACCATGACGGCTGGCTGTGTGTTCCCGCAGTCCAGGGAAATTCGAGAAGATGCGGAATATCCTCGCAGAACTTAGGCGCCCGAGAGGGTCTGTTTTGGGCCTAAAGTAATCAATCCCGCCTCTCTGACACGCGCCGTGTGAACTCATGTCTGGGATTGTAAAGTTGATGCCCTGTTCGCGAATTGACTTTATTTTTAAAGCCATTTGGCGAATGCTCTTCTAGGAAGCTTTTAATGCTGGCTTCATTGTGGCATAAAGGCTTATATCTAGGCTCGCAATAAGCCTGCAATGATATCTTCTAACTAAGGTCATTACAAGTCCAACTGCTTGCTGAGTATTCTCAAGCTTGGTGTCTCAGCAGGAACGTAAGTTGGGCATGGGATAAAAATTTGCACTTATAAATCTTTAAAATCATTTTCGCTGTTTTTTTCGATGCATGCACGAAGCTGCCCTTAGAACTAATGTTTCATACATTCGGCAGCAGTAATGTAAAGTCTTCCTTTGTCTGATTGATTAGGCTCATTCTCATAATAGCCGATCGTAGTGAAACATTTTTCCACACTTTGTTTCCAAATGTTTCAGGAGTTTGGATGGATATTTCGTCTTCTTAGAATGGAATGACCTCATCATATGAGCATGCAGGAGTCCCATGGCAGTCATAATAAAAATAAAGCCTTTTTTTGAATATATTCCAATTTTTAAATGATATTTTCAACAGGGTTAAATATAAAATAAAGAAATAAAGATGTAATTATTAAATATTTAATTTAAATTTGAACACCGTGATAAATATTTTTTGGCATTGTCTATTAATAATGAAAATAAAGTTATTTTCAATGAAAATTGTTCTGTGCAAATTTTATTTGCACTTTTGACCTCATTTTTTCCGTAATTCATTTTTACTTTTAATATTTTAGATCTTCATAATATCATTTGAAAAATTAACATAAATAAAAAAGTCAAGTTATCAATTCACTTTTTCCGCTAATTCAAAAATCCAAAAATATAAATAATAATCTTTTTTATCAAATATTATTATTTATATTCTATGAAAAATGAGGAGTCCGGAAATTTTCGATTCACCGTAACTCAATTTTTACGGGACAAAGTGGAGTAAAACTATTCAAAATACGGAAAAATGGTGTAAATAATGATTTTAACGGTAAAATCACGGAAGCTCCGGCGGAAGAATATATGTGCCTATATGAATTATACAAAATGAATCAAACCGCATTTTAAAAGATTGTTCTGTATTTAAAATGCATTCGGGAGATTTATTGTTTGAGAAACATTACCGAAATTTGCCGATTTTACAAAAAATGATTTACAAGCATATATTTTTTTTTTTTTTTTTTTTTTTGTTATAAGGCTTTAAATCTTTAGAAATGTTGACCGGGTGACGGAAATCCATGGTAACCAACGCGGGTTCCGTTTGGAATGCCATTTATCAGTGATAAATGAAATATTACAATAACATCTTGATTTAATTCAGCGAGATATTTTTTGGCAAATAAATTATTAGATCTAAAATGATTTTCGGAAAGGCATGAATCTTTAAATATGCTTTAATAGCAAATTATATCAAATATAAATTAATGCCTAGATATTACGTTTGACGTTGAATTTTTCCGATGTCAAAATTAGAAAACACTTTATTTAAAAAAAAAAAAAAAAAAAAAAAAAAGTAGTGGGGGGCTTCAAAGGGGCTGCGGCCCGCTTCTAGCCCAAGAAGATGTTTAGTATAAATGAAGTTTTTATTCGGAAAATGTTAGTCTTCTTGGTCGAAACATTATATAATGTTTTCACTTTTCACAAAATTAATATGATTTTCATGTTTTGTAACGACTTCTTCGTAAATGTTTTTGTCAAGCTTTTCGTAATGTTTTGTCAAGACTTCTTGTAAATGTTTTGTCCAAGACTTCTTCGTAAATGTTTTTGGTAAGACTTCTGCGTAAATGTTTTGTCAGACATTCTTCGTAAATGTTTTGTCAAGACTTCTTCTTCGTAGATGTTTTGTCAAGACTTCTTCGTAAATGTTTGTCAAGACTTCTTCGTAAATGTTTGTCAAGACTTCTCGTAAATGTTTTGTAGACTTCTTCTTCGTAAATGTTTGTCAGACTTCCTTCGTAAATCCGAACAAAAATATTTTTAGGTGAAGAGGTGAGATTTCACAACTGTTTTTTCACCCTCATTTCTCAGCGCGCTGCTTGAATTTTTCAAATGAATTTACACCAAAAATATATTCTTAGGGAAGAGGTAGATTTCACCTGTTTTTTTCACACTAATTTTCACCCTCTTGAATTTTAGCACGCAAAAATATATTTTAGGTGAGAGGTGAGATTTCCACCTGTTTTTTCACCTAAGATATTTTTGTCCTGATTAACGAAAAGAAATCTCACAAAGTCTTACGAAGATTTCAAAAGTCTTACGAAGAAAGTCACAATAAAGTCTTTACGAGAAGTCACAATAAACATCTGTCAAAAGCCGCTTTTTAACTTCACTTAAAATGCCACGTAAGCTACGTAAGAATATACGTAAGAGGAAGAGAGCATTGAAACATCCAATAGTAAAACTGACACCCACAACAACAGTTGCAACAACAAATTATGAATGACCCACTATGTTGCAACAAATGTCAAGCAATCCTATGCTTTTAAACCGAGTTGTTGTGCACAGAGTGGAGGTTTAAGAGCGGCACTTTTAGCGAAAATGGCAGGCTATGGTGGAGCTGCAGACGGAACAGATAATAACCCTCAAAGTCAAATGAATTTGAGTTCACTCAAAAATCAAATAACAGATGTCAAAAAGTCAAACATAGACATACAGAAGCAAATAAGTGAAAACGAAAAAGAACTAGAATATGACAGACACACAAAGAAACTCAATGAGTTAAACGTAGAGAAAAAGAAGAAAGAAGAACAACTGAAAGAACTAAGTACAGAGGAATATGCGAAAAAGTGTCAGAAAAAGCAGCAGAAGTAGCAAAATGGAACAAGATGTCAATAAATTTGAAAAACCATACTACTCAATAATAATACTGAAGATGAAAGAGATAAAACAAAAAGCCCTGAAGACATATATGGATACGATGAGTATAAAAAGGAAGTTGAAGCAATTAAAGGCAGAAAAACTTTTACAGTTGCAAAACCAAACCGTACAGTATGAAAACTTAGCACAAGAAAGTAAAAATAACGACGCAGCCATGCAAAAGGCAATGAAAAGCGCAGAATATATAAAAGCTAACAATGACTGGTTAGATGCCCAAGCCAAGCTAAAGCAGCCCAACTCATAGGGTCAATAAGGACAAAAATACAAGCGGATGAAGACAGTTCAAATGAAGCTTTAACAATGCTGACTTTAAGAACGCCTTCGAAGCTCTTCATAGTAAGGTGAAACAAGTGAACGACTTCTCATCTGAAAGAAACTGAAGTCTGAAGGTTTCGACAAAGAGTTAAAAGAAGTAGCACAAAATATGACGAAAATAACAGATGCAGCAACGAGACAGGCAGTTCAAAGTGCCTATGACGCCGTTAGAGCAACTGTTTGTGAAAAGTCAAGAAAAAGAGTTACAACAGACCAAAACAGACCTAGTAAATGCTTTCTTAAAAACGAAAAGTCAGGTAGGACATTACGCTGCAGATGGAACATATGTGCCAGCTGGTGGAACTTATATACCACCAAACCCTCAAAGAGAAGCACCTGCACCAGGACTACCTAAAACATTTACATCGTCACATGGACACAAGACACAGGCATGCACAACAACACAAAACAAGTCAAACCCACAACACACTCCACAACCAAGCACAACAACCAACAGTTCAAAACCCTGCACAACAACACATCACGCAAACAAGCACGCACAAAAAAAGGAAGGACATAAAAGAAGTAGAGAACAAGGAAACCAAGAATTCTTAAAAATGCTTAAAGAAGAGTGTGGTTTCCCAGATACTGTTGACTTTAGTGACAGATATAAAGAAGCTATTGGAAAGTTCAAGGATGGAAATACTGACCCGAACCTATTTAGCTTTATGGCTCAGCACAAAACGGATATAATCTCAAACCTGGAAAATACAAGCTCGCTAAGGGATATGATTTAATAGCATATCATCCAAATGACATGGATAGAATTTACTCCGAGATATTTGATGTCAGAGCTAAATGACAATTCAACTTTCGTCATGAAACGCGTAAAAAATAGAGACGGAACGAAAGAAACAAAAGCTTATGAATGCGGATGACGTAGATAGGAAATTGTTGAAAACGGTCTCGGAATATATGAAATGCCAGCAGATGAGGTACAAGAAACTCCACAGGAAGAAGTTCAGATACAACCAGACATGGAAGAAATAGTTCAGCACAACAGCTAGAAGAGCCTGAAGGAAACGAACAAGTCCTCCTTTGGAAACTAACTTCACAGAACTAGATGAAGATTTGGAACAGCCGAAAAATCTTGACCCTCAACAAGAGTATGCGGAGAATATGGAATATTTCCAAGAGTCTAAAAAAAATTCGGCTGACATAGTAGAAGAATATCGAAAAATGTTTGCCGACATACAAAAGACTCCAAGCACCAGATGAAAATATCTCAGCATAGAATGGAAGAACTGAAAAAAATTGTACACAATACAACAACCCTTTTTACTTACGAGCATTTTAACGTTCAATCTTCGGATGAACTCGGTGAAAATAAAAGGTAAATTTCAAGAAAACATATAGAAATGAAACATTGTTTAAAGTTCATTCAGAACCTAACCAAGATGGAAACAAACCTACTTTTGTTTCTGCAGACGATGGAACTACAATGAGATGGGGTCATAAAGCTAACCCGGATAGGTGGTTCATAAACTTACAACCACAATTCCAAGAAGTTGTAGACGCAATGGAAGTCAATGGTGAACAGATATAGCTGGTATTTTAAGCGCGGCTTTAATGCCATTGAAAGATATGAAACATGCAGATATTTGGACCAGTATGAAATGAACATGGCTGATGGAAATATAACACCTGACGTTCTAGAAACATTTATCTCAAAGAACTACACAGAACCATAAAGATGGTAATATTTGGTGAAGAGTTTAGAAAGAAAGTTAGGGAGAGAGAGAAGGAAGAGAACCTATTGTACATGACACCTTGCAAACGAAAGTTTACAAAAATGTCATAAAAACTTACTTTGCAGACAATGAACGAAAGGGATGAATATT